ACCTGATGACGCCAACATGCATTCGGGGAACTTGAAACAAAGCGCGCCTGGCAACAACCAACTGTGGACTTGATCCGCACATCATGCATGTTTTCATCGGAGCTACCTTACGCGTAATAGATTTTTTTCCATTGCTAAACTGCACTATCTCTGTGCAGGTAGTTGTATACCGAGATAACGAATAGGCAGACGCGACAAACTATATACCCTGAAAAAGTGTAGGTAGTGATGTGTTTTCTTTATTGGAGGAATCGTGCTCTGATTGAGGTGCATTAATTTCACTGCTATATGGTCGTGTAGATTGTTGTTTTTATCGCGCCGAATTGCAGAAAACAGAACCGGCAATAGCGGACCTGTATAGGTATATGAGACGTTGCTAGAGAATACGGGCCAATTTAAGCGCAGCTCGACGTGAGCTATTAGGAAAACCAGCGACGCCCAGCAACACGGTCACAAAATTTTGGGAAGGCTCATAAAAAAGAGTTCACGCGAAGAAAAAGTAGTAATAACACATAATTCGCAGACCGTCGTATACCCGGAGAGTGCGAATATCGAACAACCGGTCTGACTTAGACCGCGCACTATATTCAGATGGAAAGGGTGGAAAAAAAGAAAAGAAGCTTCAAGGCCATTTGCATATTTATGCGTCGATAACGGGGGTTGCCATCTCACGCAGTTGTTCTCCTGGGATAACACAAAATCAAAGTTCGCAGACGTCTAGTCTTTACCTACCGGGACCCATGTACGTGCGACCGATTTCGAAGAGACAAATAAATACTTCAACTTTAACAATGGACAGAGTATAGCGACAAAAGAAGAGACAGCTAACAAGATATACCGAGCTCGCCGTACTGTTCAACGGAAGTCAAAGCTATTGCTTTTATATATAACTTTCGCGAAGCCGCCCATTGCCGTGGTTCCGGTTCCTCCACGCCGGTGGTGTCTGCAAGAACGACCGACTCGCGCAGGTGCTTGCTCGAGAGTAAATGGAAACCGGAGAACCACGCTCACCAATCTTCCTATAAACGTAAATTCAGAGTTCTTTTTTTTTTCTCGTGTAAGATCCCAGGCACGCTTCGGAACCCGAGGAACAAAATGAACGTAAAATTAAGAAATAAGTCTAGAGAGCTGTAATGCCCAAATAAACAAACATACAGTTTTGCATTCATATGTGCAATGTTTATATTCGGGGAATTTCCATGCAAGTAACAGCGGAGGCAGTTGGTGTGTCTCAGAGAGATGTCACGACGTGACACCGAGACAAACTTAATTAAAAGAAAGATGTCTGGGATGTCATACAAGGCGTTTGGTTGGCTGCCCTGAATTGCACGAAGAGAACATATGGGCGACAACGAGCTCCGATAAATCGAAATTCTTGGGCATCGGTCTAGACGAACTTCATTGCATGTCGCTTTAAATGAGTTTCTGCGCTGCCTTAGTGACACAGGATTGTGAGCACGCAGTCACAATATGTGTCGTTCAATCTTTTTTTTTGTATATGCGAGAGTGTGGGGAGGAAGAGTTGGGGAATGGGGAGGCCGTTTTCCTGCTAATCCGCTTAATAGGGGGCGGGCGCAATTTTGCCCAACACCTTTATTCCGTCGTACCTCTCACGTCAGTTTTTCGTTCGTCGGCATATGGCTACGCATATATTTGGACGAGAATGGCCGCTGGGAGACCTCTAATGTTGCTTTCAAAGAAGTCAAAATGTAGGAACCAATCGCAGGTTTTTGTGAGAATCACGTCGTCGCTTTGTTTTCATGTTTCCATTTATTGGAGAGTTTGTTTTCTTTCAGACTCGACCAACCGAGGGCGAGAGTGGGTATGAGGAGAGACGTTAGCCATACAACTCATCCCTACCCCCTCTCCTAATGTAGAACCTTGCGCACGCCTGCTTTTGCTGTCTTTATGCATGTGCTATTTATTGTCACGTTGTCGTAGTTATATAGACTTGTTGTGTCACCACAATCTCGTCTCCACTTTCTATTTCTTCTTCCTGCTACAGGATAGCCGACTGATTCTGGTGCTGATGCTGATGACCTCTGATGGATGGCGCTTACCCACAAAGGGGGATGGGCCAAGAACCGGGCGGCAGGATACTTAAATGAAACTAAACTGAAAATGAAGCCAATCTGAAAAAGTAGCTTAAAATAATACTACCAAAAAACAAAAATGTGTGCTGAGCAAGCGGTCAAACCATCTTTTGTTTTTGAAAGACATAACTACAAATTATAAACTAAAGATCTGAAAAGGTAGTGGTTCACTAGCATGGTAATCTTTTAGTTGCGTTGATGTAATCAAACACAGCGGAGCATACATCCCTGTGGCAGTAACCAAATGAAGTTCCGCCAAGTGATAAAATTACTGGTAAATTTGCTTGTATTCCTGGCTTTTGTAATGGGGCTACTAAAAATCTTTTTCTCTGATAAGAATAACGATGACAGAATAAAAAGAAATGTTCAATTGTTTCAATTTCGTTGCACCAAATGCATGGCGGTGACGCCTTGAGCTGAGCTTTATTAAGGTAATAATTTAGTTGTGGAACTGCACAGCGCAATCTGGTATAAGTGACCTCTAACTGGCGAGATACACACCACTGTTTATTCCAGCAATAGCTCAAATGCTCGAAATCTTTGAATTTATCCAAATTACCTTTTTCCCATTGCAGGCAAGCATTTCGGAACCTTAGCGCGGTTACGTAAGCCGTATCTGGCAAAACTGGGATGGTGGGCCCACCCAGGAACCTCCGCTAGGTTAACCTCGCTGTCTTCTTCGTCGCTTAGCGAATGCAAGCTGCATGCCGCTTGCCTCCATGGAGCCAATGCACGTGCCCCGTGCAAGCACATAAACAGGTACTACGTGGAAAACAGGTGATACATCACATCTCGTTCATCTTTGTTTATCAATACACTAATGGAAAGCTATATTTAGCTGCGTGCCTTGCGAATGAGCTAATTTCGCTTAACTGTGGCAGGCCGTCGAGAACGGCGCCCACAAATACGCTATGTACGTGACTCGTACCGGTCAGAGCATACAGGCATGCTTTCGCTTCCGAGCGTTTCGTGCTGCCATCGAATTTTCAAAAGGAAAATAAAGAAAGCAGGAAAAGGTGGGAGGGGGTCAAGCTGATTACAGCACGCTCTTATATACACCTAGGGCAATTAGCTTGCCAGCGCTTCTCTGCTTTTTCGCACGATAAATTACGGCCGCCCAATGCGTTATTGCCTTCTGTCAAAAAAAAAAAAAAAAAGAAAACACAAGTCAGGGGGTGGTGGTGTTATGCGCGAGCCGCTAAAGAACCGGCGAAGTGAAGCCTGAACTTCCACGAGTCCCAACCCCGACTCCGCGAATGCTTTCGTGAGTGTACACTTCGGAGCCCGGAGGTGAAAGAACAAACAAACAATGGAAGTTAGGTAACTCATTAGCAAAGCTTCAATTAGAGGGTTATATATAACGGTGCACTCCACGCGCGTCTCGCCATCTTCCTTGTTTTGTTTTTTTTGTTTTTTTTTCTAATGTTGGCGCTTATTATTAGCGCCTGACGGCTTTGAAACGCGGTGCGTGCGCACAGCGCTGTATATATGCTCGCGGATATTTGCGAGGCTCTGCGGGAACGGCGTCTGCAGCTATAACAACATGAAACCCTCTTCTGGATGTTCTCCGCAAGGAACGAAAGGCGAAAATAAAAAATGTCAACACAGAAATCAGGTAAGTGTGAAGGAGCTGATTCAGCGAAAAAGCTTGCATACCACCATCTTGCGCTATTTCTTGGCTCTGTTCGGTTAAAGAAACGCGCAGTAAAGACATACGGAATAGAACCGTCCTGTATCGAGGGTTAAAATACTGAATAAAAGCAGTAGATGAGAATCTCTTCAACGGAAACGGACGAAATTTGACGGCAGCCATGGCTTCATATATACGGGTACGCCCCACGTCCTTACAACAAATACAAATGAAGCATGACGAGTCCGCTCCAGATACGGCGAACGCGAAACGTGTCGGAACCCGTGACGAGGCATACACTGTGGTTTAAAGATTTGTATAAGGCGATGCCACCGTGCACGTTGCAGTGCGCACATGCGGTGTTTCAAAACGTGGTCCAAATAAGTTCCGCAGTTAAAGATCATGTTCCGCAGTAACTGGAGCGTAAATTAGGAATGCATCTGTAAACTTATTTATTGGAGAATTCGCTTACGTCATGCCACAATTCTAGAACAAGAGCAAGAGAGAGAAAGAAAAGAACAGAAAGCGTTGCAACGATTGAAAATATTTTCATGGAAGTCCCCTTCTGGCGTATCGTCTCCGCCTACCGCGGCTGCTGTCATCAGCGATGCTCTAAGTCACTCAATTGATGCAGTGACTCTTGCACAGTCTTTTTACGTAGGAGGTATGTAGCTGTTGAACCAGCCGGACTAAAACTTTTCGCGAAATAACGTTACTGCTAGACAACTAGTCAAATCCCCATTTTCAGTGAACGCGTGTGTACATTTGTAACGCGTACAAACTGATGATGAAATTGTTAATTTTCCGTCACAGGTCTTTCGGTAATGCATATTTTTTGCCTAACTAACCGGGCTTCGTCTTAGGTCTCAATCTAGGATCGAACTATTGCAGGGTAAAACGGTCTTCGTAATTAAGAAAACGGCGAGACAGGCAAGAACAAATACGTCTGGTTTCATGAAAGCGTTTTCTTTTCTTTTTCTCTTTCTTAACAAATTCGTTCGTACTAACTCGCCAAACTGTCTGTCCTCTTGGAGACTTTTCTGTCTTACGAGCACTGTAACAAACATTTTTTTTTTTCAAAATGTTCTCTTACGGACGTTCGTAAGGGGAAAAAATGCACCCAGCAACAAAGTCTGAATAACGCGTTCAATGCTCTAACCACTGAGCTACCACAGCGGCCTTCCCAGCAACAAAGTCGGCAAGCCAGTTGTAAAAGAAGCATAACACCCGTGAAGGGTAAACTTTATGAATTCTGTCCCTGGTTTGTTTCCACTTACCTTTCATTTCCAGTAGCGATGCGTAAAACTGCGAAAAGTACAACGGTATGCATCACGTCTGCAATGCCTCCTGACTAATTCTGCTGAGCCGTGCTCCCAACTAGGGCTGCACGAGATGCCTCTTCTATTTTCCTCAACCTCTGCTCCTCCTCCTCCTCCGCAGCCTATCATCGTCATTCTACCGCTTCTCCTCTGTACACGTCACTCGACAGACGTTCGCGAGAAGATAAATAGAATTCAGTGACCCGCCACACTTGTAGGGGACACGTAACGAGGGCGAAATACTACGCCTCGCATACAACGAGAACTAGTGCAATCACATTGATATTGAAAAAGCCAACTAGGCTGTTTCGATTGTGATATCACTGAGAGATGTCGGACGGTAGACAAACCAAGTTAGACGCGCATGGTAGAAACCGAGAAGATTGCGTTCTTCAACACGGCAAGTGAAATGCAGAAACGCCCGAAGAAAATAAAATAAAATAAAGAAAGATTAGGACAGAAGATAGCGTGGCAGACGTAACGACGTTGCGAGGCGTTCGAGATTTATTGAGCAACCTCTCGCAGGGGAGCATTAATCCATGTTACAAAGAAGGCCACGCGGGGAATAAAGACAGGGAGAAACATGACCACGCAGACGGTAACTGCCATAAAACGGCCCTATACGGCTGCAACCCGAAAATCGGAGATTTCAATCTGCTGCACGTTACATGCAACTACATAACAGGTCGCTTGCCTATAGGTCGCTTGCCGGTCCACCAGTACTATAGGTCGCTTGCCGGTCCACCAGTTAAAATAGAGTCGAAGAAGAAGAAAACGTGATTTCGTAAGGTCGCATACATCAGGAGGGGAGCTCTGTCGCAATACGACACACGAGAACACGTTGACGGTGCAGCGGAGATGTCTTACAAAAGAACGGGAAAAAGAGATTTTTTTTTTTTTTGCGCAATATATACAGTGTTTGTAGAGCTTGCTTTTACCTTCTTCCATGCTTTCTGTGTGGCTGTAATGCGATACCTCGATCGTCTATGCATCCCCGCAGACGGTGCAGTGACGACACCGACGAATGGAAACTCAATCTCGAGCGACTTTCATCGCGTGCTGGGTCGACGTGCAACGGGGTGCTTGCACTCGCGCCCTGCGAAGTAATTAACTCCATCTTCAGCCGCCGCCGGCTTCGACGTATAGTAATCCCGTCTCCTACGTATTATGTGTCCCCCACAGCAGCGTGTGCGGGTGTCATGTCGGTATTCCAGAGCCACTCGAGTTCTTTTTTTCTCTCTCTTAGATTCGTTCTTCCCTTTCAGCCGACTTAGCGAAGTGTTTTTTTTTTCCCTGGGTGGGGCTGCGCAGGCGACCCCAGTGCGGTCTTGTTACATGAGATTACTGTACTTGTCGTTACGTCCTGGTTCACGTTAAACGCAGATTAAGTAAGTTGACATGGTAAAAAAGAAAATGAGGGAAATTAAAATGCAGTGTTTCTTAATAGAAATCTTTGCGTCGAGTTATTTTAACTAAGTACGCCTAGGCTACCACAGCTCCAACTACAATGTATTTTTGCTTTTGTTTTTCCTTCAGTTTCTGCGTTTGTAAGATCCGTTTATTTATAGTAACTCTAAGTAATAACATTTTCATTAGGCGCAATTTTTAAAACACATTGTTGGAGGTTTCTATATCTCGCACACACACACACACCCACGCACACGCACACACCCTGCCCCGCCATGGTGGTCTAGTGGCTAAGGTACTCGGCTGCTGACCCGCAGGCCGCGGGATTGAATCCCGGCTGTGGCGGCTGCATTTCCGATGGAGGCGGAAATGTTGTAGGCCCGTGTACTAAGATTTGGGTGCACGTTAAAGAACCCCAGGTGGTCGAAATTTCCGGAGCCCTCCACTACGGCGCCTCTCATAATCATATGGTGGTTTTGGGACTTTAAACCCCACAGATCAATCAATCAATCAATCAATCAATCAATCAAACACACACCCGTATGTGCGTGCGTGTGCGTTCAGCTACGTTAAAGAAATAAAAAATGTGTTCACAAACTGATACTTTTTTTAGATACGGTGTATGTTGGCTGTAAAAGAAGGAATGCAGTAAAGCCGTTAACATAGGTTTATTTATTTATTTATTTATTTATTTATTTATTTATTTATTTATTGCGTGAGCGCAGTCACTGTCTCTTCCTTGACAACTGCGTGTTATCATCATTTCTACAACTTTTTCTTTCATAAATGTGACGTTAGACCGTGACGGAAAAGGGGGGTGAAATGCATGTACGCTCGCGCACTTACATTCAGGTGCGCGACAAAGAGTTCCAGTTGGTCAAAACTGTTCTCGATTTTCTCCCTGAAATGATGCATCGTGCCTCGTAATTGCATGGCAGTACTGCCATCCAAGAACACTGAGATTATACTTTAATTAGGTACAGTGGTCGACTAATGAGAAATTGCTTACGTATTCACCCGGTGAAATTATCTCGACAGTGTACTTTTTTTTCCTGTCCGATAAAGGGTTTCAATTCTTAATTCTAAAAAAGACATGTCGTGCAAACACGGGCTCAGGACGGAAGTCACGATACCACAAATGCCGTGCGTATTCATTTTTTTAGAATCAATACGACTCGCTCTCTGGATTTCGTGCCGACCGGTTCTGCCCCCGCTATCTCCGACGATAGCACAGCTCTGGCCGACTGGCTCGCCCTACGTCATCTCCTCACGCCTACAAGAGCTCTCGCTGAGTGAGCCTCGTCCTCAGACTCCTGCAACTGTGTCCATCTTTCCTATTTTCTCCTTCCGGTTGTCGCTGACCCTGCGCCATGCTCTCTCCTTCTCCCTCTCTTTATACCTTCTAATCCCATCCTTTTAATCCCTTCTCTACCCCCATTCAACGTAAGCTACTGTTGAGGTGTCGCACTGTGATGCAGACAGTTACGGGGCTCACTTTTATCCTCTTTTCTCTCTTTGAGGAATCACCAGCTAGAATTAATACGTGCCAACTAGCCCAACTTTCTACAGTTCTAATTCTTTCAAGTTAAGTTGACTAGAATTAATACGTGCCAACTAGCCCAACTTTCTACAGTTTTAATTCTTTCAAGTTAAGTTACATTTTTTTATTTTTTTAATTATCCGCAGCACTTACGTGTGGTACGTGAGCTTCAGTTGACAACATACATTCACCCCATCTCAACTCCAATAATGTCTGACGCACTGCCGGAAACTGTAGAATGTTTTACCATGCTTAATCAACACGGATTAGGGGTGGGATAATGTCCTAACAGCCTGTTCTGTGACGAATTAATCTGTTCATTTTTTTTGCTCACATCCTCAGTTTTCGGCGGACATAAACATTTATGAACGCTTGTGCCGTGTTCAGTGACGATCACTTCCGGTGACAGTATTGTTTGCTTGACGTAGAATCTAGCGTGTCCGATCAATGGACTGTTTGCTCGCCTTGCCCTAGCCAACCAACCAGTTTGCCCAGAAAGCGATATCTCAAAAGCTGAATACAGCTGGACTGCAGACTATAGCCAGCTAATCGCTGCGAAGGTAACTTACCTCGTTTACTCGCAAGATTTCAGTGTTCCCTGACTGAAATATATGACCCGTCTACTCTGTGAATGTTCTTTGCCATTGCGCATCGAAACTTCCTAAAAATGTTTTATATTTTTTTGTTATGAAAAGCTATGAAAAGATAGATAGATAGATAGATAGATAGATAGATAGATAGATAGATAGATAGATAGATAGATAGATAGATAGATAGATAGATAGGTAGGTAGGTAGGTAGGTAGGTAGGTAGGTAGGTAGGTAGGTAGGTGGGTAGGTAGGTAGGTAGGTAGGTAGGTAGGTAGGTAGGTAGGTGGGTAGGTAGGTAGGTAGGTAGGTAGGTAGGTAGGTAGGTAGGTAGGTAGGTAGGTAGGTAGGTAGGTAGGTAGGTAGGTAGGTAGGTAGTGTTATGCCAGCGAGTCCTCGTCAAACGACCGTGCCTCTGAAAAAGGCAATCTGGGTCAAGGCCAGCCCGCAGTCTGCCTGGCGCGATCACCTCGACGGCGTGAACACGCGCGGCGCTCCTCTGGCCCACGTGCAGTGAGTCAGTTGCGCACGTGACAGCGAGCCGGCGTCCTCGTGTCAGGTGGTCTGACGCATGGCGCGGCGGCCCCATTGGCGGAATCTGCCCTGACGACCAGCGGCGCTTCTGATTGGACATTTTGGTTGGACCCGGTGTAAATAAAAGAAGCCCTGCGGCGCGTCGCGATCGGCGGTCCTACGAGAAAGGAGTCCCCGTGTCGGAGAGCCGACATGTGTGTGAGTCGGCGGTCTTAGGAAAAAAACTGACCTATGTGTTAGAGAGGAGAGCTCGGCTCTTCGAGTCTCTGTCGGCCCCAGTGCCGAAATTGTAACGCCTCTGTAAATATGCTGTACATAAACCTTGTTTAACTCACCGTCGTCTCGTCCGCTCGTCTTATCAGCTCTGCGCAGAAGCAGTCGCGAGCTGATAAACATACGCTACCAAACGGCTGGTGACCTTCCCGGCGGAGTTGAAAGCAGTGGCGCCTCCGGGGCCGTGTTGGCGTCGCCGTCTTTCGCAACAGTGGTGGCTTCGGCGGGATCGGTCCGTCGTTCGCAACAGTAGGAAGGCAGGCAGGCAGGCAGGCAGGCAGGCAGGCAGGCTTAAAGTGTCTGCAGTACGCGAAAAAATGCTTCGCATTTAAAACTCCGGGTTTCAAAATCAAGCGAATGAAAACGAGGTTGCTAAGTAGTATGGCGATGTTCCTTTCTGCCAGCTACCCAATGAGGGGCGTTGCGGTTTATGTCCTTTATGTCCTTTATGTGATGTTGCTAAGTGCTAAGACATAATTATCAACATTTATTCCAACACCATTCTTGAGGACACCTCGTGATCTTGGCTTCAACGCAATACTTTGTACATACACAACGACAGTCCAAACAATTCAGAAGGCTAACAAAAGTTCATTCTGGTTAAGCCTACCCGCAGACAATTATATAGCTCGTTGGGATCGCAGGTTGTGGTCCGTACAAAACAAGGCTCGATCTCGATCGCGAGTCCGGAAAATCATTATGCTACAAAAAACACGTGCTTTAGAG